CAGTTACTGGCATGTTGCTTTACCCCAGGAAGGGGCAGTTACTGGCAAGTCGCGTTACCCCAAGAAGGGGCAGTTAGTGGTGTGTCGATTTACCCCACAAAGGGGCAGTTATTGATGTGTTGCTTTACCCCAGAAAAGGGCAGTTAGTGGTGTGTCGATTTACCCCAGGAAGGGGCAGTTACTGGCTTGTTGCTTTACCCCAGGAAGGGGCAGTAACTGATGTGTTGCTTTACCCCAGGAAGGGGCAGTTAATGGAGTGTCGCGTTACCCCAGGAAGGGGCAGTTACTGGTGTGTGGCTTTACCCCAGGAAGGGGTAGTTAGTGGGGTGTCGCATTACCCCAGGAAGGGGCAGTTACTGGCGTGTTGCTTTACCCCAGGAAGGAGCAGTTACTGGTGCAGTGTTATCTCTGCTGGAGTAAACCTGTGTAGTGTATCCCCCAGACCGACGGGGTGGGCACTGTGGAGCTCTTTTATGCAACAATATTGTGCGTTTCTGACATTATTGCTGTACTATTGAATGTTAGTTTGGGTTTTTCACACAATAATATGAGCGAAAAAACCTAAAACAACATCTGGGGAAGCAAATTAAACAAAGGAATTCTCAATGGGATAATTTCTCCATGTAAAAATAAGTGGAAACACACAATACCTAGCTATCCTCTTGTCACACAACATTGTGCGTGTTAGATTTTCTTTTAAAGGAGAAGAACCAATTTAATCAAAATATGATTACAATTACAAAAGTGGTGCTTGCCACCATTTAAATAATCTCCTTGGTTCACAACTATGATTTATGCATAAACTGGTTAAAAAGGTTAAAAAAACAACAGGAAATGGATTCACACAAGTTTTATTTTTTTATTTTCGAATACATTTTTTTAATAAAGAATAATATTAGCTGAGCATAATCCTGTAATCGTGGAGAGTTTTCAGCCTAATATCTGAAGTTTTTTAATCCTTCTTGTCCTCCCACTGTTCTAACTTTCCCACTTACAAAACCCGTGGCCTTTCAGCACACTCTGCAGCTCTATCTCTCTGTATACAGGACCTGTCTGCCTGTTTCCTCTATTGCACTTTTTATGTTTGTACTACTGTAATCATTTTGCTGGCCCAGATCCGTGTGGGTGTGCTGGCAGCCTTACAAAAAAGTTACATGGGAACAGAGTTAAGGTTGAATATTTATTAGACGAAGCCATCTGGCGTCAGACTGTCTGTACAGGGGGCTTTCTTCATATAATAGTTCCTCTTCTATTTCTTCTTGTAACTATCCCTTTCTTCATTTACAACTGCACACATACCACTTCTGCTACATTCTTTCATGCCCTCATTATTATAATATAATTATGTCATTAAAACACTCACTTCTTTTGGACAGAAAAAGAGCACAAATTGAAAGTAGTGTCCTAAACTCTGCTGTGAGAATCTTTCTTAAGATTTGACTTAAGTGCATGAGAATTCTTTCAGAAGCTCTTCCATTTCATACAGTATCTATAGAGACAAGCTTACTGTAAAACAGAGCACAAAGGAAAAACCCACACTAACTGTTTGATAACTTTTGACAAGGAAAATGCAATAGTGAACACAGCTGCATATACTGTAGTCTGAGTATTTGCTCGCAAAACCTTAACAGTATATCACCATCTATTTTTACTCCAATCTCCCCAGACAGCATAATTTTGCCAGTTATATTCTTCTACTCCCTAAATAAGTTAATCATTTCGAGCATTTGCTATTGCACACTAATTTTAGAAAAAAATAATCTTATGAAAAATTAACTAAAAAAAACTTTAAACTATAACATAACACAACCCCTATTTGTAAAACATACATACATTTATTTGACAACACTAACAACTGATTAAACAATTATACACTGTTACTTCTTTGCAAAAAGAAAAATCTCTGGTTCTTGAACATCAGACTGTGCTTTTCATTAAGATACGATGCTTGCCTTCAGTGTATGTATTGTACAGTCCCACTGGGACAGACAATGACCCAGCTGTAGAGAAGCCAGAATCATGCTGGAGTATATTTTATTAAGAGTGAATCCACGAGTTCATCCATACACACAAGTTAACTTAAAAGGTGCAGAATTCAACTGAAAAAAAAAATAGTATGAGATTCCCTGCAGTCATTTGTGTGTAACATTTATTTTTATCATTTTTTTATTATATTGTTTGCCTTAGTTGTTCCCAAGGGACAGCTCATTCTGAAGAAAAAAGCTTTTTTGTTTTCTTTTGAAAGGTGATCCAATATTACCCACTACCCAATAAATATATACTCCTGCTGAAGAAAATACTTCCACACACAGTATGCACTCTGCATACTGGCATCCACTCACTTTTTACATATAAAGTAAAAGACAGTTAAGTAAAAGACAAAATTAATTTTCTATTTTAAATTAAGACGACAATGTTTTCAAGAGGAACATATGCCATTTTATAACGTGCACATTTTAAACATATTTTTTTTATTATCTTCTCCAAACATGTAAAACAGCTTATTTTTTGCACAGTACGTTTGCAGTTAATAATATAATAAATCACAGGCATCCCAAATTGGGGTTCTAGAATTATGAATTAGATCACCCACTGAGTACAGTTTACATTTTAGGTGTGGGGTTCAAGTTCATACATTAAGATTTCTCTCATTCCTCTATATTGGTAATAACAGATGGCTGTTCTACTGACTGGAAAAACTGTTTAAAGGCAAATGTTTCCTTTTCTAACAGAAACTTATGCACGGTGGCATTTTGTGAATTTAAATACCCATGAGAGGGAAATTTATTTCATTTTGTGCACATGCACACATTGTGGAGAATGCAGCTGTGTCACTAAATCAACACTGAAGGAGCACACAGAGGATGAGAACAGACAGTACTTCAGTTAGGAAGGACACCTATGAACTTCACCATTGCTGCTCTTTGGTCATTCTTCATTTCATATAAAGTAGACAAGAAATGGTGAATGTTATAATACACTTATGTTTATTCTTTTACAAGGTACATCTGTAATTACATAAAATATGTATGATGAATATGAAACAATGCAGCTGGAGCTGAAAGCTAGCTTGTAATTTATTTAGATTGATTTTGTGGTTGTTTCTTAAAATAGGCTCTTATCGTGAGTAAAAATGGCACAGTTTTAAAGAAGCAAAATAAAATGTTATAATTAATAAACCTATTTTTTCTTGGATGCATCATTTAAAAAAAGAACTACTTTTTTACACCACATAGTAAAAAAATGACCACCTTAAATAAAGGAAGGGTACATCTTGAAATACACTAATTTTGAAACCTTTTAAATTATGGAAAACTGAAAAACCATACAGTGAGGACATGGTAATCCTTTATCATTTATTGAGCTGTATGCTTTCATTATCTTTTGAGAGGTGAATACTAAATAAAAATATAGATTACATTTTTCTCTTCTCAGTAGTTTTAATCAAGTATTTGTAATGAACAACAAAGTTTTATTTTATATAGTGCCATTTATGATACAGTACGTCATCTCAGAGCACCATATCAGTTTAATAGTAATGGTCTTGAGAAATTAAAAGCTCAGAATAATACCGAAATAAAACAAATGTACAGAAAGCACACTGTCCAAATACATATTAAAATATGAAACAAGAATTGTCTACTATATAATAAGTCTAAAATACTTGTATTGCACATTAACTGCAATCTGCTTAAAAGTTTAAATATTTCAAATACATTTTAATTTTCTGTATACTGGATATGAAATGGAAGCACTTATTGCCTTGTTCAGAAGCCTGTGCAAGCATTTGATGGACGTTTTTTTTCGGATGAGAAGGCTGCTTCTTGTTTTGTTTCCTTTCCATCATCCTAGCTAGCCTCAGACACTGCCTGGGCTTCACCCATCAGTAAATAGGCAAGGAATTTGTTTTCCTTCAACTCACTTCACACTGCACTGCCAGGCTTTTGCTCCTGGGCAATGCTGAAATTCAAACATGTGTAAAAATCTTAAACATTGTAAAGCATGCAAAGGCAAAGAAATAGACAATTATTAGGGCAAATGCTTCCCCAGTGCAGTACAGATGAAGTTTGCTTCTTTATATTTTTAATATTCAGACATTAAACCTTTTAAAATATGTCATGGGCACAAATAAAGACATTAATGAGATGTCAACTGATCCATTAACTTTGCCATTTTAAGGTCATTCTAACCGAACCGAAAGGTATAGAGTTCTTTCGCTTCAGAAAATGTAATGGATTCTAAATAGTTAGTGATCTCCTTTTTATGTTGAGAGGTAACCTTTCATCATGATTGTACCGTGTTCCACCACAGTAAGAAAGATGCATCACTCAAGCTTCTGACTTTTATCTGGATTATGTATCAAAATCTGGATAAAACACAAAAGAGCTTATTGAAAAAAAATGCACACACATTTAACCCTTTTTTGTGTTGATCTGTGGTAAAATCCAGTATCTTCAAGTTACCAAAACAAAATATTTAACCAAGTAAGCATTTCTAGAGAAGCTGTTATGAAAAATAGTTATCCATCATGTTAAAATGATCAAACAAACTCTTATAGCATTTCAATTTTAAGGGGCCTTTGTAATGCTTTCTTCTTTTTCTAAGAATTGTATGGCATTCTTTTATCATGTCGAACATGTAAATTTAATTTGCATGGCAGCTTTTCTTATATCTGTGTTCTTTAACAAACAAAACAGATTGTGTTTCCTAGGTATGTTGCAAATCCATAGTATACTATATGGTAATTATGACAGAAGTGAAAATGAGGACCCTATGTATGTCAAACCACTGTTTTATTCAAATAAGAATGTGTCAGAACAACTCTTCATAATACATGCAGAGGAATGCATAAAATAAGTGATAAATACAAATTGTACCTACATTTGAAGAGCATTATTAAATATAATCCAGCTCTGTAATAAACTGTTTCAAGCTTTTCTTAAACTGTAAGTTTACTTTGCACATTATATTTTTAGTATGGAATAAAACAATGCATGCGGTTTTCTGTCATGCTGGTAAAGGTCTTTTATTTGTTTTTGTTAAGAACAAAACTTTTTTTTTTCCGTTGTTCACTTGTGCTAGTGATCCAGTCGGTGATCATGGTGGTGTGGTGCAGACAAGGAGGTTGTACAGGCTTTTGTTAAGTTCTGAAAAACAGAATTGAAGAAATTAGCTTTGTGGCAAACTTTCTGTTAAATCTTTGCTTAAAGTCTAAATGCTTTAAATGATAATCTCAATTAAACACTATTAATTGATCAATCCCTAGCCTCATCCCGACTGTAAATAATAAACACCAGGCTTCACAGTATCAAGTAGTGGATCACTGGTGCTATTTATGGTGTGACTGAGGTCACACAGCGCTGTTACAAGCTTTCAGCTTCCTAATACATATAAAGAGATCTGTTACTTTACTTGCTACATTAACTCTTGTGGCAGCTGGAGATGTACACAGGTTTAAAATGCACTTGGATTTCTTTCAATGTTTCTGAATATAAACAGATACAATGCAGAAGCTAATAAACAGCACAAATGTATTGCACCACAATTTATTTACAATTTAATAAAACACTTTTGGGGAATTAGAGCGAAATTTCACAACATGGTGAAAAAACATATACACATAGAAGTTAAATAAATTTCAAAATAATATTTATAAAACGTTTTACATTGCAGGATATACGTTTGAATTACAGTGCAATAAAACAACCTTAAATACTCATTCAGAAATGTAAATGCCGCAATTTTATAGAAAAGAAAGTGCCAACAGTGTAAGCACCTTGCCAGCTCCATGAACAATGATACCAATTAAAGCTTAAATTGCTTGTTTTCTCATAACATGCGTATTTTCATAACTCTGAAATCAAATAATTGCTGCTTTTATATTAAGTACAATAAAACAAAAAAGATGGTAATTGAGGGGAACTGCTACAAGCATTTTAATAGAATTGCCCAACCATTAAACAGAAGATATGAAAAAGAATATGCGTATGTAAAGTTTCTAAAGAAATTCCATAGGATTATTACATCATTTTTCTTCGGAGTCTGAGAAATGTGCAAATGATTTCAGTTTTGATTAAATGCCAAAAAGCAGCACACTGGCCTTAAACAGATCAAATAATGTATAGATTTTCAAATGTATACATTGTAGAAACATTTAGGATGAATAAAGCTGCCTCTTCAGTTGTCCCTTTGTCCATATAGAATATTTCACTGCCATTACCTTTGTGCAGTCTTTTAGAGAAAGAGGAATAAAAAAGCAAGATGTTGAAGAAAAAGCACCGCATTATCAACCCATCAGCCACTCAACAAGCATTTTTCCAAGTATTCAATAATGAGCTTGTTTGAATATTTCAGATGTATCAATGTCCTTTAGGATTACTTTCTCACTGTTTCCTTTTCAGCCTTTATATCACCTAGAAGACACTTGCAACTATTTCAGTAATTGATTACGAAGGTGAGCTACTGCTCTGCCAACATATAATCAGACAGTGCTGACAGTTTTATGAAAGTTTTTTTTTCATATTTTACCAATATTGCGCATACTTATTATATGCTCATTCTCTGTAATGTTTGTTTGTTCTGTCAACTTGAAACAGAAAAAGAATTGTCGTTAATTTATGTTGTTTTCCGAGACGAAGTGCGATACTGTCATAAAGACCAATCAATCAGGAATTTCCTAGGGAGTCTGATTATCAGGGGGAAGGCAGTGTTCCAGCACATAGTAAAATGTGAAATCTTCTCTCGCAGACATGAAAAAAACCCCACAGAATCACTTTGCTGTGAAAGATGTGCCATTTGATTAAGCAAAGCATGTTTCACTTTGCCTCATCCCAGCACATACTGGAGGTTCACATGAAACAATGCATTTTCTGGTACTATAAACCCCGCTGTGGTATAACTGGTCTCTGACAGGTAGAATGTGTGATGCAATATTATTCAAATGTAGGCTAATTATTCAGTTCATTTATTTATGGATCTTTTAAAAAAGGCCAAGAGGTTAAGTAAGCTCATTCTTTAATGTTGTTTTTTTGGTAAATGAACACAGAGCTCCTAGGAGTTTGGATTAATTGCAAATAAAGGGGTTATTCTCAAAAGAGCAATGCAGCAATTTTCTCAGTTTTCCCACAAATTAAACATCTCTCCAACCCCTTTAATTTTTATGTTACAGAAAACTGTCAGAAACTGCTAAGGAAAAAATGGAAAGACTAAACAATGGGCAAAGTGTTCACTGGTTGTTTGCAGTTGTTTATTTTTCTTTACATGTATACCACAATTTATATAAAATCAACAGACAGAAAAAAATATAACCTCTCCACAGTAGGATGTGTCTAAACTGCGTTTGGGAGCAGAATAAAACAAAATTATGGACCGAATATACTTTAGAATTTTCTATACAACATTCCCATTGGCAAATGCATTCTTTGGATATTCAAAAATATCTGCAGAGCTCCGAGAAGGATTAATAGAAATAAAGAGTACTACTAGAAAATTCACAATACATACGATAAACTTAAAAAAAACCTGCTGCAATAATTATAAAAAAACTTTTTAAAGTAATTGATAGAATCACAAACACTTCATTATTTATAAATATTTTTTTCTTTTTGGTCATGTTAGTCAAAAGAAAAAATCACAATTTTTGCGGAATATAAACACTGTCCAGCCAAAACATTAGAGAATGCTTGAGCACATGCTTCTGGTGCATCAATGAATGCAACAGCAGATCTGGCTAGTGTGCTAATTAATATAACTAGCGCATTAGTATTAATTCTGAAAGGCTAACCAAAAGATTTGCCAGTACCTAGATTGCATATTCTATTGAGCATACTGGCACGCTCTGGATTGTGGCAGCAGACGCATACAGTATAGTGGTGAACTGTACTGTTTGTCTTCCAGAGATTTGTGAATAGTCTAATATCTCCATGGACATCTACAGGAACCATTAACTACTGTATCTAAAAGTCCATTATATGTGACCTTTCACAGACTTAACTATAGATGACTATCAGAGCACAGTTAGCATACATGGAACTTTGTAATAATTTGTTAAAACCTTTTTTAGAATAAACTACAGTAGGAGAAAAAACAAAAACAAATGTAAGACACCTTCTGGAAACAAGTCGGAGTGCCAGGGAGAAAGATGTGTCAATGATTAATCTTATTGCTTCCCTTGATGACAGATCTATTTAATTTATACCTATTTCTACCTAAACTTAGGAGTATCAGTTTCCATCCAGTGAAGTTCTAGAAGTTGATGGCTCGCCACCTTCTTTCTTGCAAACTGTAAGTGATTTAGATTATGACAAGTAGACTTATTTTGTGTCACAGCTATTCGATCTTCAGCAGGATCAAATTAAACTTGGCTTTGTTCTTTAGAGATCCTCCCACCCTAATTGTGACCTTGAACGCACAGGCATTCTACCACTGGAAAGGACAGCATCTTATACAGCAACTCAACAGCCAAAAATTAATGCCATGTGCTCTGAGAATTCTCAACCACAGTCAAGTATTTGAGGTGGCGCCTTGACGCTCCAGCCCACTATTGCCAAAGAAACATTATTTAACTGTTACATTTGAGAGAGCAATCCTTTTTTTTGTAGTCAACCACTTATTTATATGAAACATCAGCTGATGTCACCTATCATGCAGATGGAGCGCACACTTCGTGTCTGACATGGGAATTTTCTTTTTTTCTTCAGAGTAAAGCAGCCATTCTTCGCATGTTCCCCTAATGGAATTGACCACAACTGGAAAGGTTTCAGTTTTTCACATTATTGTAAAGTTTGTTCATCTGGAGGACTGCTTTCATAATCTCTCGTTTTAACTTGCATTTGGTTCTGTAAGAAATTTGGAATGCAGTTGTATTCAGTGCTTTCATGTGTTTGCTTTAATAAGTCAACGCTGGGCTGTACCGTAGCTTGGTTATGACTGATGGCTTCTCAACAGAGCTAGTTACCCTTCACAAGGCAAGCTCACTCTTCTCAGCTCCACAGCCCGTTTACCCCATGTGAACAACCAGGGAAGGAAAGTAGAAGGATAAAACTAAATAAAAAAGTTTGTACAACTTATATCAGAACTGACCAATGTTCATCATTTCCATCCATTATCAGGTAGAGGTACAAGCCTGGTGAGGGTCAAGAGCCCCTTCCAGAAGCAGAGGGTGCCAGGCAGGGTGACACCCTCAATGGGACGATGACATCCACTGATTCATGGGTAGTAGCTCTGACCTTGTGGAACAAGCACTGTTCTTTTCACCTCTGATATATAGGAGCTAGCAATTTAGACAGAAGTATAATGGAAAGAATAACATACGAGCCATATTTGTGAAGGTAAAAGAACTAATGAGTCCTGGTTGTACTGAGTGAGGTAAGTCCACTGGATGTGACTGTCAAAGACAAGGCCAGTTCAAGTCCTGGAAGGCTGTGAGTTATTTAGTCTGTTTATATTTAGTCTCGTTAAACACATAATCAGGTAAATTAATTAATGGCTGCTTTGAAAGGTCCATAAAATTTGCAAGTTAAAGGCAGCTTTTTCTCTCACCACTTCTTTTCAGCAGGTTTGGATTTTATTATGAAATTTGTAGATGCACATTTTAATTGCATATTTAAGACAATATACGCTGTACAATTGCAGACATAAACATGATCTATCGATGTAAGCATGTACTGTAGATTGTTAACTGATGTAATGTAAAGAGTGTTTGTAGAACTATATGTGTTTGTCAATGATAGCTTTTCAAAATTTATTGAACACATATTTATCCTCTCAAGTTGTAGTTAAGATGTTCTAATGAATTATTTAAGAACTGCAGGGCTTATACCTGTGCAGTTCAATAGACATTTATAGACAGTAATATTCCTCAATTTTTTTTAAAAGATCTCTAGTGGTTTTATTTAGCGAGAAAAACTGAACAGCTGTTAAGTTGCGGTGATGACATATATTTAACCACATCCATAATTTCATTACTACGGTGACATTGTTTCATAAAACATAAGCCTTTGTCAGAAAAATGAAGCTGTTGCCAGTACAGTACTGTACTGTATGTGCTGTTCACTGAGAAAAACAGTGTCATCAGACAATTGTAAGGATATATGTAACTAATTGAACAGATGCAGGGATTTGTTCAGAAGAGCCCACACATGCTCCACCGGGTTGACTCCACTAACGACTGGCCTGCCTTCCAAAGGCTGTGTGAATGGGGCGCAATGTTCCATAAAATCATACCATTTTTAATGAAACTGACTCCAATAATGTTTCTTCATCTGTCTTTCCTAGGGCTGTTTGCACCAGATTATTTAAGGAGTTGGAATCAAAGTTTAAGCTAATGCAAAGTTGCATTCTACAATACTACTTGAATGTATTTTGTTCAGATAAATGGGAAAAAGAGGGAAAAAAAATGACTTATTCACAAACCACATCAGGAGTGAGCTAAAAATAGAACAAAATCAAAGATATTTTATTGAAAAATAATGAGAAAAGGATGTTCTCCCAAAGTGAATACAAAACACTGACTTGTAACAGTGAACTTTAATGTTCCTAACTGTTTTCTCATGTGAAAACTTGAGAAACAGTCTTGGCTCAGAAAAGTGATCCATTTTCCATCCAGGTTCAATACACTCTGTGTCAGAGCAAAGCAACATGTGCCTTCAATGTAAAGGGAAGGTGTCCAAGAACTTCCTTTCATTCACATCCAGCTTTTTAAACATGCAGTTTTACAACAGAGATTTGCAGTTGATCATTTCCATTGAAAAAAGCAAAATATCCTTCAGCAAAAATCTCTGTATGAAATCTTCACAAAAGGGCTTTAAGCAAAAATCTTATCGGCTCTTACCTGAAAGGCTTACAGATGCATCGTCTAGTGGATTTCACTTTGACACCTTATGTGACTTCTGTATAGCACACTCAGGGAGTGAGTGTCCTTACACTTCATTAAACGACTGAAAAAACATATCAAGGATTATCAAATGATGATTTCTCAATGATTCTTTGCAACTTTTTTCACAGTTTGGCATATGGCATTAACATTTCACTCCATACTAAAGATTTCTTTTAAAAGGAAGTGAATAACCTTTAAGGGCTGCAGTGACTCTGGTAATGAACCCCACATTCTTAACAGCCTGTCATGTCTGTCACTAGGTTTTACAATCAGCTCCTCAGAAAGTGCCCTTCAACTGGAGGTGTAAGGTGGAATCTGTGCTCTTAACACATTTCATCAGATTAATTTAATTTGGAAATATTCAACCAGAAAATGAAATTATTAGCAGGTTGGAACATTTAGGGAAAAGCGGTGTCGCAGGATAACACCCAGTCTGAGTGACATGTCAAAACAGAAGTCATAAATCCATCTGATTTCAATGATGTGACATTAAGAGTTGCTGCAAAAGAAGAAAATAAACCTTTGGACTATTTGAGTTGATTCTAAATTAATTCTAATATTGGTATTGACAGACAGTTCAGCAAACACTAACTACACGTGTCAGGGGTCTGCACTTATACAGAATCTCCAGGTCCCCTGATGAAGGGACTATTAAAAAACCAACACTTGCAAGGCAGAATTAAATCACTTTTATTTGCTTGGACATTTTGCACTGCTTGAGACAATACACAACCTATCGTGTGTCTTCAAAACTCACCCATATGGGTTACAGTTGCTCTGAGGAGGTTTTATCATCTGGGTGTAAAATCAGCCCCAGAAGGATATAATAAGGATATTAGTTTTTTGACTACGGTGTTATATAGTTCAGACAGAAGAAGTACAGTGCTTTACATTACTCAATTTAGGTTAAATACATCTTATTATTCAGGATCTAATGATCTACATTAACTCTGTGAAACATAAAAGATAAAATAAAACAATTTGGACATGCAAGAAACACTTTCATAATCTAAATTCTTTTTTTTTCAATTATGGCTCAAAGTGTCTGCATGAGAGCACTGTGAAATATGTCTAAACTGACTAACATTTTGAGATTCAAAGGCAGAAATGTGCAACACTGCATGTAGAACTTTTATTCTGAATTAGTGGTGACTGTAAAATGGTGAGACGACTGCTTTTTGACACATCCAGGCGGATGGATGCCATTTACGTGAGACATCAATTTTCCCAGACCCTAACTTTGCTTTCTATGGAACAATTCCAAGGATTCTGAATTACTTTTAACCATAAATTTACAAAGTTCACATTTTACCATTGTCACCAGTATCTTTTCTATATTTATATATGATCTCAAGTTCTTTGTTGTGATGAATCGTTTCTGATTACCATCACAGAACAGCTATGTTCTTTGATATTCAAGAAATGGCCAGTTTTATTTTACAATATTTCAAGCGCATTTTATATTTCTGAAAAACAACATTAGAGATTTCAGTTTACAGTTGAACACTTAAAATATATAGAACTTACGTACATCCCCAGTGAAATGTTTAGTGAAAATACATTTGTGTAGTTTTATGCAGTTTCAAACACTTGCACAGACTCACACACTTCTAAATAGAGATGCATACAAAATAACACTGACTGGAATGGGTTTCTAATGAGATTTTATACTTAAGTGTCCGTTACTTTATTTAGCATTGTGACTTAGAAAAAATTAACCTTGACCTAGAAGCAAGATTCTTACAAAAGAACCATGTCAGAATCTTGGAGTTCACTGATATTTTATGATTACACAAGCTGAAAGAACATTTCTGCTTCCTTCCTTTGTTTAAAAAGTAAAATGAATTTAAGAAATCATACCTTTAGCTGAATTGTTTTCAGTGCAATGGAACACATCTGGTCTGCCTTTCTTGAGAAATCAGTTCAAAGGTACACATTTTTGTTATTAATTCAACATCATTTAACCAAAAGAGCATTTTCTTTAAAGAGCAATGTGTAAAACTATACCACATTCACTTTAACTTCCTTTTTTTAGTAGCACATAAGCTTATGTGAGGGAAATGTTTTGCTTTGAACAAAATAAGTTCTTTAGATGATTCAAAGAATCCTTTGACGTGCAGTTCACTTTTCTAAAGCTTTGATGTGGCTCAGCTGAGAGTAAAATTATTTAAACTGTAATTCGGCTTCTTCAATGTGTGTATGTTTCATACGTTGCTTATACCATATGGCTGTTAAGTAAGAAGTAGTTTCACTGATTACATATCAAACCCCAGGCGGATTCAAGTGCTGTTTGCAAATTTGTTTGTTGTGTGACTAACCTGTTGCTGTACATAAAATCTAGAATTTGTTTTCAGTGTGTTAGCTGTCATGTCTCCAATATTTGTTGTTTCCAGAATTCTCAGAATTTCATGTGTCATATCTGTATTTTTAACATAAAAATGTCTTCAAACACATGTGTGAATTCAACTTTTCCACTTAAAATCAAGATACACTGCACTGATGGTTACTGAGTTTAACCATGGCATTTAACCAATACAAATCTAACCAAATAGCTACTTAAAACTGCAGATTACTTAATTGTGCATTATCTGGCCATACTAAAAATTCTTATCGGAAAACCTCTGAGTTACATTTAGCAAGAACACAGCCTTAGACAGATCTTTTTCCGTTAATGTTTTAAATTCACTTGAGTGTGTTTATTAAAAAAGAAATGTTTGTTCTCTCATTTTTCACTTTGTAGACCATCATTTTTATAATGTGCATGTTCTCAAAATAGCTGACAGTCAAGAAATGTGAAGTCATGACGAATGAAGCGTCTTGTAAATATTTTCTCTTGGTAATGAAAGGAATTGTAACTAACATGCACAATAGTAATGGTACTAACAACAATGAAATGTTATTGAATGAGCAAAAAAGGGAAAACTGGAGCATGTTTGTCAATGAGAAAATATATTTTTGTTTACTGTGACAGGCTGAACGAAAATATTCACACTTGATTATTAAAGTTTACTGTATGACCAAGAAATTATGACTCTTATCGGGTACAGGTGTTTGGGGTCTGTTTTACATTTTCTGTCTGGAGAAAGAATTCAACAGGTATTTGAGAGACAGGCAAAAGTTTGTACAATATATATTTGAATTGTTTATTCTTTTTTTATAAGATGACATCTTGATTTGATTCTATATTCCAGTGTAAGAAACCTTCTTAAAATTAGAAATGTGATATACAAGTAATTAAATCATAGAATGGATATACGGAATACATTCACAGCCAAACTAAAAAGATATTACAGAAAAGACTAACCTCACATATACTGTATAGTATATGTCCGAATGATGTAATATCAGAAAATTCTGGGTCTCTTAATTTGGGTTTTTGAATTCTGCACTCTTTTTGTAAAACTAATGGAGAGTATATACAGAGTTGCTGGTGAATTGTGGAGAATTTTTTTGTCTGGAACAAAAGGGTAAAAGGTGTGAATAAAGGATGTTGAATTACTCTGTGGTGCTTGAATTTAATCATGATTAATGAGTGCTTCAGTGTAAGAAAAGTGAAAGAAGTGTTTGTATATTCTGTCCAAAACATACTTCAAGTTATTTAACTTCAGATACTCTGTACATTCTCTGTCCATCATAATATGCAAAAAAGACTGCTACTGAGAGACCTTGGTCATACAGTATTAACAACCATTTGTCAACCCATGGACAAAGTATGCATTTTTTAGACAGCTAATGATAGAAAAGCAGCCCTAGTCCTATTCTGTATCTTATATGACTCCATTTACAGGGCACAGTTTAGAAATATGCCAGACAAGGCCTGTTGTGTAAACCATGACAACCAATATAAAAAGGTAGTTAAAAAAGTTCTGTACCTAGTAAGAGAGGAAACTCGGTTCCAAACTCACAGCATATTAAAAAGATTAATGTAGAAATTTGTAGTTTGTTTTCTTCCCCTTTTATGGCTTATTGTAGTTTGAGCATGACGGATGCTGAAATTCAGAATAAAATCACGTTTCGCTGTTGATTCTCAAATGAGGATGTTGTTTTTTTCCATCATGAAATCATCAGTAACTGGGACTGTCCCAGTGTTGTGATACCCTAGGACTTCTCCCACAATAGCAGGCTGGCCTTGTAGTGGAGGAGCAAGTCCAGCTTCTGGGGGTGTCAAGTGCTTTGGGGCTGGGAGGGGCCTGGGCGTACGCGACCGCGTCCCAGGAAGAACAACCAACACCTGTGAGAGAGCTGCGCTGCCCAGACTGCAAGCCTGTCGGTCAGCCTGCGCTGCTGTGGAAGGTGGAGGAGAAATTTAGAAGGGAAGGATGAAAGAGGGCTTACACAGTACTCGAGTCTGCAACAGCGCTGTCTTCCCCTAGGGAACGAGAGGGCACCGAATTCTCCTGCGGTGGGGCACCGGCCTTTTTGCACAGCGCAATTCACTCCACGTGCTCGCTCACTGAACCCCAGGACATTTTTCAGCCCGTGCTGGTAGGGTGCAGGGACACTGTCACAGGTTAGAATCCTCCTGTAGGGAAAGAAAAAAACCTGTACGAGGGCAGCTACACCGAATGAGGAAAACATCAAAGCTGTGGAACAGAATCCCAACAGGCCTGCATGTCCCAGGAAGATGAAGGCAGCTAATCGTAAAAATACTTTAGAAAATCTAATTTTATTTGTCTGTTATCTAAGTACAATACAAGATGTGTAAATCATTTGGATGACAAACTGAGGGAAATGGTCTATATAATATGTACACATGTTCTACAGACTTTATAAGGTATGTTTTTTAAATTAATATCAAAATAGTATCATGCCTGTTTTATGTGAACTGAAATAATGCAATAATGTTACAATACTCATGCAGCTTGTCTGGGTAGATTCATTGGTATCATTTTTGATAAATCTTTCTCAGGACTGAAATGCCAGTGGCTTTTTTTTTTGCACTTTTGTAACTAAAATAATGTTGAAGTCCTTCCATTGTACAAAGTGGTGTATGTTGTCTACGAGAGAGACAGATATCAGAGGGCAATTATTTTTTTTGTGTTTTTTTTTTGGTAGTATCTCAAATAGGATCAGTCTTCCAGAATGTGGATGCAACGTGGGACACGTTCTAACTTAAGTAATTATTACAATAATAATACAGAGCGACCTCTGAGGCAGGAATACCTCAGGGTGAATAAAATATGCACTGTTGTCCTAGCAGTTATAGCAGCAATGAGGTGACATTTGTGACTGAATAAATCAAAGACATTAGAGTTTTGAAACAGAATAAATAACAGAAGGCCAGAACATCACATTATATCAGGGTAGAAGTGAAAAGGTTGGCTTTTTCAAAGGACAACCAGAAAATGTAGCTATTCGTCCCAGTCCAATTATAGATCTTGCCTCGTTATTATTGTCTGGCTACAGTGTTGATGTATGCCACTGTATACCATCCTCACAAGTAATAAAATGGCAGAAATTGTCGTAGAAGCCAAAAACAATAGAGTGAAGTTCATGGAGCTGTTAAGGCTTGCTTGTGCTCTATCAGTCATAAACCAGGTCAGGCTAAAATGATTCCCAGAAGTATCCAATCGCTTTATCATCATAAAGAGAGCACAACCTCCAGCATTACTATAAGAAAGCAGCTGAAAGTTTTCTTATATCTTAAGTTCACATCTTGTGTTTGTTATGCTTTTAATCTCTGTCATTCAACCATTTACAAAGTGACCTTCGTTAAAACTTGTTTTTTTTTTACCGGAGTCAAATTAAAAAACAAAAGCATGAACACAATATGCACAAATCACTTTGTAAAAACATTTCGGAACCCAGGAATTACACAAGGCTAATAGCTGCAGTCATTAAGTATCTGCAATTTTTATGAGTTTATTGCTCCTCCTATCCTATAGGTGGAGCGCAGCTAAAGAGTAAATAAGGGGCATGGGATCATTGCAGACTCTCGATTAGGAGTATAAGGCACAGTTATCTTTGCTACAAAGTCATCCAACAAATGTGCTGCAAAACTCAAACCTAGCATTTTATTCAAAACATTTGGAATAACATGATGTAAGGGAAGTACATTTTACTACAAGAAAACAAAAGGCAGATCACATGTAGGTCCATTGATAATTCCAAGGATTCTAGTACTTTCTGACTGCGATATATCAGGCACTAAGATAATCGACACCTTTTATTTCAAGTGCCCTTACGGTTTACATCATGGTGAGGAAAATGCTATGAAGTGCTGCTGGCAGAGGATTCTCAGTTAAGGAATGTGTGTAATTCTCACTAACATGAGGTTTTATATATGTGTATATATATAGAATTACTTCATTTATATGTGCATTCTGCTGCTGTGTCTCTCTTTTAACCTTTAAGTTAAAGTTTGAGACATTTAAAATGAGAAAAAATAATTACTGTCACTATATGCAGTAGATGCATCTGCTGTAATACAGGCCGTGGCACCTGATGGACGGCTGTCTCCCAGTTACAATCACTTGAACTCAGGTGCCTGTCTCAATATTGAATGTTAGATTTATTTGAAAGAATATACACAAAACCAGAGATTCACGTAAGACTCGGAAACCAGTCTACATCTTTTCCATGATGTTTTTTTTCTGACAGTGCATCATTTACTGTATTCCAAACTCATTAGGTACTCCTGGATATACTGTAGGTATACTCAGGTCGACACAGACTGGGTCTATAAGGCACTGCAGTGACATTTGAATAGAATGACGCATCCTGACAACTTTATCTACTGCCTCAGGATATAGTACTGTATATAATGGATTCTATGACTTATGTTCAATTTGAACTTGTGATTTGCCAATAAAACTCTTTTGAGTTTAAGTGCAAAAATTCTGATAGACACAGAAGTAGAACTCGAATGACCTAATCCTAATAGGGTTACAATTTAACATTATTGAGCAAAGAATGGAGGGAGGCCATTACTAACCTCAAAGATAGGGTGATTAGATATGTGTGGAATTTTGTGTAGTTACAACATGGAGTTCTTTTGGCTGTTTATACCATTATGAAACAGCTGTAAATTCATATTTCACTGTTTACTCTTAAATAATTCTCAGGGTTAGGAAGACAACGGTATCTCTTGTTTTATTTTAAAGTTACTTGTGCTGACCATGAGAACTATTTTTAGAAATACTTCTGAAGTATCCATGTATTTTTAATGTGGGAAAAGTCTGTCCTTTTCCCTCCACCAGTGTTTGATGTATTCCAGCCCTACTGTGAGTCTGATGTGTGTGTTTGGGTATATGTGGACCAGAGGCTGGAGGAGAACTTCCTCTTTGGATTCTCTCTGTTTTCTTTCGA